GAAAGAGTAGCAATGAGTGTTGTGTTGCTGGGATTTGCATTTGGACCAGTACTTGTTACACCTTTAAATGCTCTTGAAAAGGGGGTAAATAGTGAGGTGGCAAAATATTCAGATACTACAGAATTACTCAAATAGTTCAGTGAAAAGCTGACTGTGAAGAGTTACAAAGGGATCTCACCAAGCTGGGTGATTGGGCAGCACAAGGGACGTTGGAGTTCAGTGTTAAGAAATGCAAAGTAATGCCCCTGGAAAACTATAATCCTGTGTCTACATGCAAAAATGATGGGATGTAGAATAGTTGTTACCACTCAAGAAAGAGATCTTGGAATCATTGTGCATAGTTCTCTGAAAATAGTCTCAATATGCAGTGTCAGTCTAAAAACTGAAAAACTAACCAAATATTGGGATTCATAAGAAAGGAATAGATAAGACAGAAAATATCATACTGCCTCTACATATAGTCACTGTCTGCCCACATCTTGAATATTGTATGCAAATTTGATCACCGCATCTAAAAAAAGATGTATTGGATTTGTGAAAGGTACAGAAAGGGCAACAGAAATGATTAGGGGTAAGGAACAGCTTCCATAGGAGAGATTAAAATGACTGGGATTTTTCAGCTTGGAAAAGAAATGACTAATGGATGGGAGCAGGGAGATTTTAGAGATGTAGAGCAACAGCCCTAGTTGGCACACTTGAAAGGCAAAAGCGCCGGGTGGAGCCCGGGATCAGCTGGTGACTCCCCGCTGACCCTGGGCTCTGTGCAGTGCTGCTGCTTTGAAACGCCCGCAAGGAGCTCGGCGTCAGGCTGCATGCAGCATTTAAAGTGGCAATGCCATGTGGAGCCTGGAGTTAGCTGGGGACTACTTCACTGACCCTGGGCTCCACACAGCACTGCCGCTTTGAAATGCCGCATGCAGCCGGGGACATCGCAGCTGGGTGAGGCATTTCAAAGTGGCAGTGCTGTGTGGAGCCCAGGGTCTGGCCCCAGGCTTCACACAGTGCTGCCACTTGAAAGGCCCCAGCTGATCCCAGGCTCCATGTGGTGCTTTCGTCTTACCAGTGCACCTGCTAGGGGTGTTGCTACACTTCAAAGGTAGAGGTGCCCTACTGACTAATCGAATAGTCTATACAAAGTTTGACTATTCAATTAGTAAGTTATTCAAAATTTAATATCCCTAATCAACAGAAGTCCCAATAATCAAATGATCCATTCTTTGTTGCCCATTTCCAGCTTCCTCCTTTAGTTTATTTTGTTCTTATTGGAACTCTGTTATAGTTTGGCCTTTCCACCATCTCCTGCTGAAAGAGTTCCACAGATTGACTCTGAAGAAATAATGTGTTCTCTAATATTTATTTAAGTTTTCTTTCTTTTATATAGGAATTAGATACAGTGCTCCTGTCAGCTAATTGCTGAGTTATCTTCCATAACCCCTAGAGGTTTCCAGTGCCTTAGTAGCCCTAGGAAGAGGTGATACGTGTGTGGCAGCAGTGCAAATGGAATTGGTCCCCCCAATATGCTGCTTGGCTTGTACTAAGCATGCTGAGTAACACTGCTGAAGCCAC